CAAACTTGCTGAGGGAGCACTCTGTGCCTTCATCCAGGTCATTGATGAATAAACTGAACAGGACTGGACCAAGGACTGACCCCTGGGGGACCCCGCTAGCTACAGGCCTCCAACTAGACTCTGCACCGCTGATCACCACCCTCTGGGTCCTGCCATCCAGCCAGTTCCTAATCCATCTCACTGTCCACTCATCTATCCCACACTTCCGGAGCTTGCCCAGAAGGATGCTGTGAGGGACGGTGTCAAAAGCCTTGGTGAAGTCGAGATAGACGACATCCACCGCTCTCCCCTCATCTACCCAGCGAGTCATTCCACCACAGAAGGCTATCAGGTTATTCAAGCAAGATTTCCCCTTGGTGAATCCATTCTGACTACTCCTGAGCACCTTCTTATCCTCCACATGTTTGGAGACAACAGTCAGGATGAGCTGCTCCATGACTTTTCCAGGGATGATTTGCTATATTGATGCTCATCTACAATGTCATTTAGCTGTGCCACATGCTCTAGGTGTCCCTACTGGAGCAGGGGGGGTTGGACTCCAGAGGTCCAAAACAACTTCAAACATTCTGCAACTCTGATTAGCTGTGTTTACTTTAGAGCTCAAAAAAGGAATTTTCTTTCAAATAAGGTCCTAACCTTTGACATTCATCAATTAGCTGTGGTGTTAGTAGCAACTGAGTACACTTTTTGCCACCAAAGCTACGTGGGCTTCTTCACTCTTTAAAGCAAGGCAACAGTTCACGTTTAGGAATGTGGTTTCCACTTGGGAAGCAACCACCATTTCAAATAAAATGAGGCCCTAATGTAGCATACGTATGAGTAAGGCACGAGTACTTCTCTGGTCACATCCTGAGGGTCTCATGTTTAAGACAGACAATAAGATTAACTATTATGTCCTCAGGCTGTTTGCTGCTCTCTCATGCACCTCCTCTAATCTTCATACTCAGAGACCTTGTGTTCAGCCCGGGTGAGTAGCAGAAAATAAAGAATTATCCCAGTAGGGTGCAATAGCTGTGTGCACTCCCCTGCGTGGTTGGAAATAGAAATGTCGCCTCATATGTACATTAGAAAAAAGATAAAATGCCTATTTCTGCAGGTTCTTCCTTGCTAAGAGAGAAGAAAAAAAGTGTCAGAGAAGGTATCTGAATGTGTTCAATAAGAAAAAAAAAAAAGGAGGTTCCACCTTTATTTATGCCTGATACACAAGACTTGCATCCTGCTAGTTCAAATGAAGTACATGTATGTAATTTATTGATACATATTAGCACATGCCTCTTGTGAGAGGGATGTGATTTATGAGATTTTCTGCACTTATAAGTAAATGTGGATAATGGATGGTAAATATTTGATTTGAAATGATTTTAATGATTTTATTTTAAATTTTAAATGATGCATTTACCACCTTCATTACCAAATAACAGCTTTCAAGGCTAGGAATCTAATGGCCTTACCAAGACTAGTAGCTACTAAAGCACATCAGCAATACCACAGACTCCTGGACATATTCACTACTTCAATAGGAATCAGTGTAGTGGCCTAATCTGCTGGGATGTAATTTACGTTATCTGCTAAAAAAAATTAGCTCCACTCCCCCATTACATCAATGGAATTTTAAGGACAGAAATTCAGTAAAGCTCTATCATTGATCTGTTGAACCCTAGGGATAGGAAATATTATTTCCAGCTTCTTGTGTTTCCCATGGCCTCTAAATTCACTAATAGTTCAGGGATCTGAGAAGCCAACTGTAGCTATGCCACAGATCTAAAGATGTGCAAGCAGCTAATTAGAATTCTCTAAGTTTTCTACGATAGTACAGACAAGTGACAACAAAGCTAAAAACAGGAACATTTCCAATTTCCTTATCCTATTCATCTATAAAATTCAGCAGCTGGCCTGGTGGTTTATCAGTCAGCACCATTTAGTTGCTGAAGTTCAAAGGCAAGAAAAGGGTAAAGCATATTTTTTGTGATGGGGCTCCCTAAGGAAATACGGGGTGGGGATCAGAAGAGAAGACAGATAAAGGATAAAATTAACTCCAAAGAAAGTTTCTTAGGCACAAAGAGAGTGTTTGAATGTGCCAACTACTGTATGGTACAACAGAAGGCCAAACCAGGAAAGAAGATGGAACCAAGGCTACCTCATGACTTAACTTTCTTACTAACTTCTGATTTCTCACAAATATACTCCATCCTCTTGGGATGTAGCAAAGTGTATCTTTGGAAAATTCCTTAAAAATAGGCCTTGCATGACCAAGTTCAAAACTGATTCCCATCACTTTTCTCCTAAGTCTTTCTCACTGCTTGCCTTGCAGCAACAATATAATTTCCTGGTATGAAAAAAAAATATCTGGGAAGAAAACGGGCGTGTAGAAAAGGTAAATAAATAAATAAATAAATAACTCAGAATCGCCATGTAAGCCTACCAGTCAAGGACTGAACATAGAGAATTCTCCACAGCCAATCTACAATAAGGAGAAAATGAAGAAATTATTGAGTACTTTATGCCTAGACAGAATTATTTTGAATTATTTGCTGCCTAACAGTCCAAGTACAAACATGGTGAAATCAGACAACTGATACAAAGACAAAATTACAGTATGATTCAGTTAATTTGTAATGTGTGTTTTATAAAGAAGCACAGAAAGCTTAAAAGATGATGTCTGAAAAGATACGATGGGATCTATTTTTAAATATTATGAATAGCCAGGGGATGTTCTAGTACGGTAACGCTTTCTTCAATTAAGTAGTGATTGTGCATTTCAGAAGGCTGTGAAAAATTTATTCAGATTGTCTTCATTTATTACAATATTATATGAGACTGAATTGGTGCTGTGCTAGAATCATGTGGCAGGATTTCACCATTATTTTGAAAACTCTGTAGAGAGAGATTGATGGATGTTGCAAGAATCACAAGACACTTAATCCGAAGTATTCTTAATTCTTGCAAAATAGGCAATAAAACAACAGCACTGGTTACGCTGTTGTGTATCTAAAAGGACTGTATGGAAAGTTGGATGTTTTCCACACTACTGTCTCTTTGGAGCAGCTAACCTGCCACATAAACCCTCCTGTAACTGTGATTTCTAAAAATAAAAAATGGTGTTGTTTATAATATAGAAGCAGTCCAAACCACCTGTTTTCATGATGATTTTACAGTGGTGTTTACTGCACAAGATTATCTGAAAAACAAGCCATGGGTTTATAGTCTAAAGCAAGATTCCTTCACCCTTAGCAACACTGAGAGTGCTTCACTGAAGTTAATGGAGCTACTTACATTTATAGCGAGTGCTGACAATACCAGTGATTGACAGGCTGACAGAAAAAAACAAAAAATTAAACATTTTCAAAAGCAAACACAAGCTCACAGCTCTCGCCAAAAATGGTTAACCAGAAGAAAAAATGTCTCTCTCCGGGGGTCTTCAAACACAGAGAAACATTCTGGAGATCAGTGGCATAACTTGCTACAAAACATTTTACTAGACTCAGTCCTGGGTGAAATTTAACTGCTTATGACACACAAAAGATCAGAGTAGGTGGTGCCATGGGGTTTTTTGGCCTGAAAGTCTGGTAATCTCTAGAAAGTGATATACTGCTCAAAACAAGAACATCTGCTGCGAAACTAGGACATATGGAAATCTGTGTCCACGGAAGGAAAAGTAAAATAAACCTAAAGCACATCTATGAAGCTTCCCAGTCTGATTGCATGCATTTGGTTTAGAAATATGACAGAAACATGATGAGTGGACAAGAGACATTCATGTATCACTTGCAGACCATCTGTATCACCACTACTGCTATGCACCTTACTGTGGTCATCAGCTTCCCTGCTATCACATTCTTATTGCCATCTGTCTATCACAAGGCTAAAACATACACATACAGTAACAGAACTGCATAACAAGAATTTTCTCTTGCACTTTTGATCAGCACTTGCTGGATTATTGCTGGTAACCCCTGCTAGTAAGGAGGCGTTTTACACTGGTAATGTTCTATATGCTCTGCCTTCGTTTGGTCCGGGTGTTTCTAGGGCTTTTGAAAGGACTCTGTCATTCAATGAATAAATATAAAATCAGCAACTGATAGCACCAGTGTTTTGAATCAATAACTGAAGAAGGAAATACAAGAGGTTTTCCTTCGTGCTACATTAAAAACTTGGGTACTTCCAAAGACTAATAATATTTGAGACAAAATCTTGAATTAAAAGCAATCAGTACATGGCAGGGTAAATTCTAAAGCCTATACAAGCAAGTAGGATATAAAATACGTACAAGGGACATATCAGTATTTTCTCTTTCCTTTTCACTGTTCTGAACAGGAAGGCAGCATTTTCTGACCTGTTTTTGAGTGTAAGCTCCTTCTTGGTTCCTCAGGCCCCTCGATGGGTTGGTCAGCAAGGAAAACCCGTGCCTGCTCCACAGCACTGAGAATGGTTTGTTCCTTATCCTTCAGTTCACGTCTCAGGGCCTTTTGCAAAAGGAAAAAAAAAAAAAGCCATTTGTAGCTTGATGTTGTGAACAACAGACGTTATAACATTTTTTCCATTTTTGCCTCTCTGACCAGACCTATCCGCTGATGAGTAATAGCCAACGTTTAATTCAAACTGCAAGATAAAATTTACATTTTACAAAACAGAAATGTCAAGAAAGAGATATAGCATAGAGATTTTTTCTAAAATTAACTTGAAGAAGAGAATACAAGAAGGATGATGATGATAGGTGAGTGTTTTAAAACCAAAGGGAAAATATTATATTGACCTTATGGAAAAAAAAATACAAGTTTCATTATTAGCATGATTGCTGATAGAAAACAAAAATCTGTTGTAGTGATCTCTTTTTTTTCGGTAGCTGGCATAAGAGAAAATTGGCCCTGTGAAACTTCAAAAGGTAATTTCACAACTGCTAATGAGAATTACAAAAGCACTTTACATTCCTTAGAAAACGCTGCCTCTTATTCTGTTTCGTTTTTAGAAACATTTTTAAAACTGAGAACAAGTGTCATGAGATCGGGGATGATGAGAAGACATTAGAAAAAGAAATTCTATAAAACAGCCTAAAATATTTTGAGCCTTGTACACAGAAGCAAGTTCAGTTTTTCTTAAAGACATTTTTCATGCTCCTGGAATTCAATTTCAGGATATTTTCTTCCCCAGTGCTTATGACTTTTTCTTTAAGAGTTAAGTGCAACTATCCTATTAAAAACAGAAAGTGTTCACGAGTCATCAGCTGTAATAATGTTTTCTATAAAGCATTTTATTCCATACAATTTAAAAAAGTATGCATTGATCCCAGACAGAAGGAATACGCTTTGCATGAATTATTTTGTATTACTTTCTACTTATTTGAATACAAAAGATATTTAAATATTAATATAGTGTACTGAAACTTTTCAAATTTTTTTACATCTCTATTTTAAAAAATAAAGTTTATTTACCGATAAAAGTCAGTCTCCATTCCAGCCCAACAAAAGTAGCTAGTTAGTGGAGTTACAACACTATATAACAAGACGAACACTTTCCGCTAGAGAAAACACTTCCTAGAGAAAAAATAGGAGAGAGTAGAGTAGAAAAGGCTTCTGGTCACCAGATGCCAAGCCATGGTGTAAAAGTGTTTGCAGCCATTAGCCAGTAATGATGGGAACGAGGAAGAGAAGTTCTGGATACCTCGCTCTATTTATGCACAAAAACAAAGTTGAAGAAACTTTCTCTAGAAACTAAATCCTATTTTTCTCCAGATTCCTCACTTGAGATTTTCCCTGGCAATTGCCCATTTCTTTGTCCCAGAAGAAACAGTCTTTTGAACAGAGGATCCTCACAGACATTATTGAGAATCGTTAAGTGACAACAGGGCATCATATGAACTTATTCATTGAAGAGGAAGCATCTAGAGCATGAAAAGCTCCACATGGATCCAGCAGAACTAGCAACAGGATTTCTGCCACCAGGCTTGTCTGCTACAAACAGTTCCAGATTGTGAAGAAGTTGCTGCAAAGCAGTGACGATTAAAGTCGGATAATCCTTCCCTGATTTTCCGCCCAGGTTATTTTATGATTTCTTACCCACACACGGAAAGTAGGCGTTCTAGCTGGAGTGAAACACAACAAAATGCTATCGCTCTTCTTTCACTATTTTTCCATTCGTTTCTTGCATCACTAGCACTGCCCCAGAAATTCAAAGTATTTTCACTAGTGACAGAGCGAAGCAAAACGAGGAACACCAGAGTGCCCGGGAAGGCCTCAGCAGGGCGCTATGGAGCCGCTCGGGGCCGAGGCAGCCGGGCCCACGTCAATATTTTGCTTTCACACAACGTACATCAGAATAAAGCTCTTCAAAATCATCCGCATTTTACAAACCCTGAAAGTATTTCTCTGTGTAGCAATTTGTTCCGGGTTAAGAAGGAAGGCAGGAGGATATTACCACTACATGCAATTAAGGCTGCATAATTCTTTATTTTGATGCTTTTGGGTATTAGAACCCCCACAGATGCAGAATTGAACTCCAAACGTCACTTCTAATTTCAAAGGTTTTGCCAATTTTGACAGTACTGCTTGTGAAGTAAATCCTTAGAGTAATCCCTTATTTTCTTTTAGTCCATGCAGCTTCTTAAATACTTGCAAAGCATAAAAGAAAAAGGAGGCAACAAGATCTTGAACCTGCTCGGAAATCCCACCAGTTAGCAATGACCTAGAGCAGGATCTGCTCAGCTGCCTCGCTCCTCCTTACCTACACATCAGCACGTTCCTCCCTTCCCCGGGGTGATTCTCAATCAAATCTCAACCTCTGCGGGACGCGGTTGGCCTCGCCTCTCTAACGAAGCCCCGAGTGGCCCTGGATTTAATTCGCTGTCCCCCATCCCCACCATGGAGCTGTCCAAACTAAGGACGACAACACCAAGATCAAGGCTACCCTGGCAATGAACAATGTAAGGACTTGGAAAATATACAGTTGTCCTGTTTGCATCTTCACCTCCACATCATCCACGCCATTCCTCTTTAATACCTCTTGACAAAGAAATCTTTTAGCACGAAAGGAACTTTGCATATGAAATATTAATATTGAATATGGAATAATTTAGTAGTAAGAGAAAGAGTATCCTGAGAAAACCACAGGCTTTCATACATGTGCTACAGACACGAAAAACAGTTTCAGAAACAGCCAGTCAGATTAATGTATTTTCATTTTTTGTCTCTTTAGCAATACTCAATTTATTTTAATTTGGTTTGCTTTTTTTCCCTGTCAGAGAAAGAGAATAGCAAGAGAGACATAAAGCAAGAATAATCAAGAATATCAGCCGTACACTCTCGACCTTCCAGAGAAACCTCTCTTCAAGAGAACACAAAAAAATCCACTATAATCTAATGCCTAGCTCAAATTTCTTCAGTTCTGAGTGGACTGAAAATAGGATTTCACTGGAAAAATCAGATCTACAAAATGCTACAGAGTAAAGATGAGGAAAAAAAAAACCCAAAACATTGAGGAGCATTAAGGCTGTAATACTGAATTTTATTAGTGTATTAAAGATTTTTATCAAGAAGTGGAATATTGTATTTTGAAGTTTTATTTAGTTTTTCAAAAAATACCTCCCAAATGGCTTCTCAGAACGGACAATCCTCTTTCACTAGAGACTTACATGACTCTGTCCCTTCATTCCCCCTTGTTTGTCAATCAGGAGTGAGTAGTTCAGCATTTCTAAAGCTTTTCACATGGCACAAGCTGCGCTTGCAGGAGAATTATTTCCTCTAGCTATACTTGAGCTAGAGGAAAGCAGAAGAAAATTGGCACTGAAGTTTGGGCACAGATTAAATAAAGTAAAAGCAAAAGGCTTTTGGACTTCGGGTGTTTGTCTTCATTTTGGGCCTTCTGAAGCTGCAATTCCAAAACTCACAGCTAAGCTACCCAGTAAATGCGTAAATACATAGATGCAAATATTTGTTTTGAGAGCCACAGTAAGTATGCAGATGTGAACACAAACTGGAAACGAGAGCTCTGAGTATACACGATGCTCCTCTATGTAAATAAAAATGCAGCATATTGTAAAGACGTATTGGTCATACAAAAAGAGACTTGATGCAATTTTAGTTTTAATTCATACCACCGTATTTCATACTACAACCCTAAAGTGCACAATTACAATATGCTTTAGGCTGTGTTTTAAAATGCAAGTTTTACTTGTGTTCTGGAAAGATCCATGACACATTACCAAGTTAGATGTCCATCCTTTCACCAATTTCATTAGTAAATTCACTCTTAAATCCTACACAAGCCAGGACATGAGATTTTTTTAAAAGACTCACTAATTAGAAGTTCTTGAATCTCAGAAAAGCAGAAAAAAACCCACTAAAACCATAAGATTTGTCAAGCTGAAGCAGCGTCCCACAGGCTGACCTTTAATAACACTAACCAAGAATGATTAATTCAGAAAATCCTTCTTCTGGTCCCGAAAAACCTCTTCTAGTGACAGACAGAAGCCCACTACACCACACCCTGGAGATATTTAAGGCAGCATCCCACAAAGCAAGACCTGCTCAGCAGCACCACAGCACTCGCTCTGCAGGTATGAGGGACACCTTCCAGGCGTCTTGACAAAGAGCAATCCATGAGCTACATATAATCCTTCGGTCATCTACTGTTGATTCTCTTAGGGCACACAATCCCGGATTCAATAAATCCCTCATTTACTGCAATCATTAGTCAATGATTTGCTGTCCATTTTGATTTGTTCCTCATTCACTAACCGTGAAACTCAGGGGGTTTTCCTATTACAACTTGGGAAATCATATATAATTTATTCTTGTACCAAGAATATCTAATCCGTATGCCCTTTCTTCGTTACGAAAGTCCATGATTTCTCATATTTACTCAACTCTTCTTCTTTCAAGTTCATGTTTTCTAACTTACTGCCTGAATTTATAAGCAAAGAATTTGCTAAACCAAGGCCTTCCAAGATTGTTTTTGGGAATGCCTCGTAACTGGAGATTTCCTACTCTTAAGAAATTGCAACGCTACAAAAACTCTGGCCATTCATGAATTTTCACGTACTTCATTCAGTTAAGACTTGAAAATTATGTTTCAAGCATAGTAAGTGGGTTCGCAAGACTACATGCGGTCAGTTCACAGCCTCTTTGATAGGCTTGCATAGAATAATTAGAGGAGCAGAGCAGCTCAATGGTTTAACAGATGAAGGCAGAACTAATTTCAAAGAAAACACACGAGATGTTTCTTAAAACCAGAACCTATTTAAATGGCATTTCATTATGCGCTATTTCAAGGAAGGGAAGACACATGTTTTTGGTAACTCCTATCTGTTTCTCACATTGTAGCTTTTTCAGCCAATCAGCAGCTCCAGCAGCTCTTCAGTCAGCTCATTCGTCAGTCATTCATCACCTTTATTCTGCACCAGGTGCTTGAAACACTTCTGTTATTTTTGTAGTCTAAATAGAAATGGGAAAATCATCCATAGCATATAGCA